GTCTTCTTTCCCTAAATGGCCCGTGAAGTCCTTTAAGACAGGGATTAAGCCAGATGTTTATTTTGTATTCCCCACAGCAGCTGGCCCGATGGCAGGCTCACTGTGCTCATTAAAAAGGGATTGAATGAATGCATGCATGCATCGTTTTAGTGCTTTTGATTCTGAAAGAAAATCTGAAATCATTCTCAACTCACTAACTAGGATAATTAAGGCTGGCCTCACGTGGTGACTGACACAGAGCTTCAGCATCCTTGGAGTGCTGAGGATGTGTTTCCCAGGCTGTTCTCATCCACACTGAGAATTCCAATCACAGGAAGACCAAAGCTGCAGCTCACACACAGGAGTACCTCCTATGTCTTTAAAGAAGAGGATTTTATAGAAATTGATCCTGGTACCTCAACATTTCCAGTCAATGTCAGTTAGAATTAATTATCTTTATTCCTAACCTCAAAACAAAACAGACAGGTACATACCCAAAAGACTGAATGCAGGGACTCAAACAGATACTTGTATACCAATATTCACTGCAGCATGATTCACAATAGTCAAATGTGGAAACAACCCAGGTGTGCACCGACAGATGAATAGATGAACAAAATGTGGTCGATCTGTGCAATGAAATGTTATTCAGTCATAAAGAAAAATAAAGCTCTGATCCATGCTACAACATGGATGAAGCTCAAAAACATTGTCCTAAGTGAAATAAGCCAGACACAAAAGGACAAAGATTGTGTGATCCCACTTATATGAAATCTCTAGAATAGGCAAATGCATAGCAACAGAAAGTAGACCAGAGGCTACAAGAGGCTAGAGGGAGGGGAAATGGAGAGCTACTGCTTAAAGGGTACAGAGTTTCTGTTTGGGGTGATGACAAAGTTTTAGAAATAGATAGTGGTGATGGTTGCAAAAAAAATTTTTTTTCTCTCTTAGTTGGGAAATTAAAGTTTATTCAATTAAAAAAAAAAAAAGACCTAGAACTCAATAGAGAAGACAAACATTAAGAGCTCACAGAAAAACATATACAAAATATATGAAAAGATGCTCAGCCTAACTTTTAAGAAATGCAAATTTAATTACACTGAACTATGATCTTTTACAAAGATACAAGGATACAAAAGTTTGGCAACATGCCAAGGTGGTAAAGGTGGGGGCAAACAGGCCTGGTCATGTATTGCTGGCTGGGATATATAGCTCAGTTCAGGCTCACTGGGGGACAATTTGGCACTATCTATCCAAATGACAAGTGCAAATACCCCTGGAACAGCACTTTTATGGTGGGACGTTCTATCCAAAGTTTCGTGGTACTTAGGTATGATAGGAAATACTGCAGGTGAGAGACAAAAGTGGAAGGAGACTTGCCACTGTATGCTCTCTTGTAGTTTTTACATTTTGTTCTAAGTGAATATACTGCCTACTCGGGAAATACACAAAATTTTAAAAATGAGAAAAATTTTAAGTCTAAGGCGATGAAAACCTTTAAAAACAAAGACAAACACAAAAGACCGCACCAGGAGGCCACGTTTAAGCATTATCACTTGCTGACTTGGCTGAAACTTGGGGGACTTGACCTCCTGAATTTCTTAGGATAGTCCTGACTAAATATAATCATATTTTTTAAATGTAAACCTAAAGTGCAATTTAACTTTTATGCGTTTGTGAATTTATATGAAAACACGATCGGGGGCAGGAGGAGAATCCCTCATCTAATTAAGTACATGAGCCTGATTTTTCCTCAAAAAATGTGATCTCAGTAATGATTATATTCTGAATGAAATGGCTCATTCCTAACATTATAATTTAGTATAATGTATGCTAAATTATACTAGGGAATCCCAGAAAAACTGGCCTGGATTACACAAAATAGTGAATTTGTTCAATAAATTTCATCAAGAGGTTAATGCAATGGATAGATGCATGCATCAAGAATGGAAACACTAAAATATGGACCATATCATTGCAAAATGTGTCCAAAAGAGTGCTGGAAAGGCCACTGGGTCATGGAAGAGAGAATCACTGATAAATGGGGAAGAGTTGAACAGAGAAACCACTATTTCCTTGCAAGTTCATTTCTAGAACAAGATCCAGAGAAGAAACTGACCTTGAGTGAACTCAACAAATTAAGAGGAACTTACTCCAGCCTGACTCTCTCTCTCAATATCTCTTTTTCTCTGTCTCTGTACATGTGTGTGCGGGCACACATTGTCCACTGGTCAAGAATAAGCTCAAGTGACCCCTCACCTGAATTCTAACTCTGCTATAATTCACTCCTCTAAGCAATCATCAATTTATGTTGATACCCCTTTATTATTGCCTACTCCAATTGAATATCTGAATATTCATCTGTCTCCCTGACTATACTGAGTTCTTGGCAGGCAGGAATTGCTTTCTTCATCTGTTTCCCAGGGTCTGGCCCCTTGTTGTTGTTGTTGGGTGCCATCAAGTCAATTCTGACTCATAGTGACCCTATAGGAAGGACACAGTAGAACTGCCCCATAGGGTTTCCTAGCCTGTATTCTTTATGGTGGCAGATCACCAGGTCTTTTCTCCCACAGAGTGGCTGGTGAGTTCAAACAGCTGACCTTTCTGGTTGAGTGCTTAACTATTGAACCACCAGAGCTCCGTGTCTGGCGCTTAGTAGGGCCTTAATAAATCTTTGCTGAATGGAAGACAATTTGAACTCATAAATTTTTTCCAGTTCAGTAAAACTATGATCGCACCAGGTAGAAATGACTTCAAATCAGAGCATCACTTACAATTCCTTTGTGTATAAACTGCCCACAGGTCTTACAGTAGGGTACTGCTTTCTTATAACCCTTATTGTAGAGACTAGAGTCTGCATCCCGATGATACTTGGGGAATTTAAATTGTCCAGCTTCAAATGACATAATAGCAACTTATTGGTAACTTCTTGCCCCGTTGATAAAATATCAAATCTCTATTTCTGGTTCATTTTCATTTTGCAAATTCAGTGTTTGGAAACTTAGCTAGTTCTGGGCCAGGAGGTGGCGGGTGGGGAAGAGGTTAAGGAGGAACAGCACCTGCAATAAAATCATTCAGCTGAGGTCACAGTCCCTTTTTACTACCCCTTATAGAATCAAAGAGAATGCATGGATGCAGTCTACACGTAATGTGATCCAATAATAAGTAGGTGCTTTCATTTACAAGATGACCAAGATGAATAAATCCTTCATTCTCTGTCAACAAAATTGATCTGTTTGTTATAGGGATCCCAAGGAGCCCTGGTGGCACAGTAGTTAAGCACTCAACTACGAACCAAAAGTGGGTGATTCAAACCCAACCGCCACTCCGAGGGACAAAGATGTGGCAGTCTGCTTCTGTAAAGATTATAGCCTTGGAAACCCTAAGGGGCAGTTCTACTGTCCTATAGGGTCGCTATGAGTCAGAATGGACTCGACGTCAATGGGTTATGGGGATTCCTGTTTGCTTTTAACCTGCAGACTTTCTAGGGATTTCTCTTGTGACTAGGTTCTGTAGAACTAGACAGGCATTTCATGACATGTCAAAGGACAAGATACTGCCACTGCCCTCTACTGTGCAACCCGGGATCGCAGAAAGGATTATGGGGAATAAAGCATCTCCAGGCCAACATTGTATGCGGCACCCCTTCTGATATTCCAGGGGTAAACCCAAAACCGTATCACAATAGAAAACTCAGTGGAGATCCTCCATATATGGAAGGTTCACCTCCCTGGAATCCTCACCCTTAACTCCTCTCCATAACATTCATCACATTTGGAATTAGTTGGCTAGTTTCTGTCTTCCCTGCTTTGTCTTAGCACCCTGCTGTGGGGATATAAGCCATTTAAACATGGCTGCACTATTGACAACTGCAGCCCCCACAGGCCTCTATGCTGCACAGCATGTTGAGACTTGTCCCCAAAATGTTGAGACTTGTCAGGATGTGTTTTCGCAAACCTATTGTCCCTTTACTGATTGACTTGTTTACCTGAATTCCTTCTCCCTTGCCCACACACAAAGCCCATTGTTTTGTTAATTGCCTTATTGATTGCTGTATTGACTATAAAATAAACTCCTGGGACTGAAGCAGGGTCGACTCCTCAGAGTGACCCTCCTGGCCCCACTTCTCTGTAAGAGTTGTGCAGTTGGTTACTGTCTTCGCCGTCCCGATTCCCGTCGCCGCTGTGACACCCTGCATCTTCTGTAGGGCTTATCACGAGTATAATGAACTGCCTCCTTACTTGTTACTTCTTACTGTTAGGATGGCAGCTCTTGAGGATAGCCACCACGTCTGTTATGTTCACCGCAATATCCCCAGTGCCTCACACAGGGACAGTGCCTGGCATTTCGAAGGCGCTGCATCATTTCAGCCGGGATAGATGACTGTCCTGACCAACCAAACCAGCCGAACCTGATCATGTGCATTAAACAACTAAGAAAACACTGCGACTGAGTGGGGCGCAATAGTATTTTACATTGTAAAATAAGTAACCCAAATCACTCCTTATATTTACAATAGAGAACGAATAACCACCTGTATTGTATTGTTATTTATAAAATAACTTCCCTTCTCTCTGCCAATGTTAATGCACACTGCTGTCAGAAGCAAGTGGCTTTGCTTGTGTAAGACCTAAACCAACTCTAAGGAAAAGCTGAAGTCTTGTAGCACACAATTTGCCTCTCCTACGAGCCTCTTCATCATACCTTTACTTTCTAGCCCCCAAACCACTTTCCGTTCTGTGGTCTCTAACCAATTCCTGTATATTTTACACAGACATATTTTTTATTCTTTATTTACTCATAAGTGCTTGCAAATAGTTCTTCCTTTTCTGTCTCCCACAGCTATTCATATAGTAGACATTCAATCAGTGCTTGGGGAACCACTTCATTTATCCTACATTCCAGTTCACCTTCTGGATAAGAGCTGCTAAACGTCAACATTTTGCCAGCTAAGAGGTTGAGTGACCTACAATCCCATTTTTACCAGACATTTCTAATAAAGTAAATGACAGATACCGTAATATAAGAAAATGGTTTTATTCCTAATTTTTAGTTCCTATACAGTTTACAAATACACTTTTACTCTGATAATACGGCTTTGCAACTAGCAAAGCAGTTGAGCTAACACCCATAAATACAGGTGGGGAGACAATTAACATCCACTAATGTTTCTCTACATAAACTATTAATGTCATTTTTTTTTAAACAATTGCAAATAGACTACATAATATACGTGGGCAAAAAGGCAAATAAGTGAATCTCTTGAAACACTAAATGTATAATAAACAGTGCATATTATCAACATTTACATGATTCACATCAAAATGATGACATCCTAAAACGTATTCCTTTTAAAGGATAGATTTATCAATAAAATATTACATATCTTTTAATACTCTGGTACAATACTTCTTCATATACTGCAGGAAAATCAAATGTAGGTCTAGTCATCAGCTTAATAAAGGATCCTTTTTCATTAGCTTTTATTAATAAAAGTATCACAATTAGGTCATAAATAACAGGCAAAATTATTAATTACATGTTTTGAGGTTTAGGATGAAAACCTGTTAAAATTAGTTTTGATATACAGCAAAGTTATACAACACACGAAAACCAACTGTTTAATATTTTTGCCTTCTGTGAACTGCCCATCGTGAGAAAAACTTTTTAGTGATGGAAGATACGACAAACTATTATTTTGGAACTTATTTTTCAAAAGGAAGAGGGAAAAAGATTTCAACAAAATTAAAGGCTAACACAGATCCTAATAAAGATTTTATCTGGAAATCAGGGAGGCCATGTGCTTGCTTTAAAACTTCATTCTCCTGACAACATACAGAAAACAAAAACAGCAGCGGGTTGGGATTTAGGTCTACATCTACCATTTCCCTTAGGGATTCATAATCTGCAATAAAACACTTCACAATCGCATCCCTTTCCACATTCCCCTGAACCAGAAATATCCTAGGATGTTAAATTAGTTCTAAAATCCCCCGTAAAATACCCCCTAAATATAACCGTGACGGTTTTCTTGGCTATACCAAAGCAAGGAGACTCTGCAAAGAATGCCAAGACGCAGGATATTCACATGTGTTTTCTCACTCCCCATTAGCCACATCTGACAAGTTACTGACTTCAATGGGAGAGATGGCCATGACCTTCAGGAGAGCCACACACTGATTATGAGGTGTCTTTTTTATTATTTAAAAAGGCTATTAAGACACTGAAATTTGGCTTATTTATTTTTTACCTCAATACCCTGCATCAGATCATATTCTTCACCAAATACTCAGCCAGCTATGGGTTACTGCACAAATTTAAAGTCTACCAACAACCCAGAGTTACTCCCTGGCTGCTGACTGCAAATACGTATCTGTCACCACTCTTTTCCAGGTAGCCTGATTCACCTATCCCTGACTGCTCTGGCCCTGGGCCCTTCTACGTCCTCATCAACCACCTCCTTGGAACTTTCATTTCCACTATCTTTATCTTTAAACCCTTACCTTGAGCTCCTCCCATTTTCACAGCCGCTCTGCCTGATCCCATCCCATGTAATCTCCTCGGAGAACCTGCAATCACCTTTTCCCAAACCCACTCGGCACACCTTAGCACACTAGGGACCATTAGAAATCTTGTCTTGGCATAAGTTTACATAACATGACTGTTTGCTTACTTAACCCATTAAAACCCACTGGTGGAGTCAATTCCGACTCATAGCGACTCTATAGGACAGGGTAGAACTGCCTTTCCAAGGAGCGGCTGGTGGATTCAAACTGCCGACTTTTTGGTTAGCAGCTTGAGCTCTTAACCACTGTGCCACCAGGGCTCCTTGCTTACTTAGTGGAAGGGAATCTAAATTAAATCAATGTCCTGTAACAAACACAGCTGGCAAAGATCAGGCATTTCAGTTCCAAGTGCAAAAACAACTGCTCTTAAGCTACAGAGACGTTAATGCAATAATGTATTTGAAGCAAACCCTCGTATGCTGGTGAAAGACTCTGCCCCCAAAGTCCAGAGCAAAAACATTACCACAACAGGGAGGCAAAAGTGGAGAACTATTCAATGTGACAATGCAATAAAAAGAACAAGGATTTCATCAGATCCTTGCGGCAAATACTGAACTGGAATCTCTCTTTACAGGCCTGACAAGAAGCCAGTAATCACTTCCATTCCCCTAATGACCTTCAGGCCACACCTGTGCTCTAAAGCCATTCTAAGCTTCTCGGGGAGTGGGGTGGGGCAGAGAGGAAGGAGGAGATCAGTGTACATTCTGGCAGTGAGAAAGGCAACCAGGGCTCTCCCCAAGGAAGCTAAAGACCTCAGAGAAGAACTACCAAGGCTGGGCCTAGTCCTCCTTTCAGGAGCCAAATGAGACAAATCTGAGGAGGAGACCATAATAACTGAATAGCAAAGTTGCTGTAGCAATTTATTATCTTTACAAAGACAACCAATGATACCTTAATTGAAATACGCTCACTGAATCATGATTCAACACACAGGGCAAAAAGGGATGTCTTTGGAAAAGGCACTTAAGGTCAGACGTTAGGAAATATTACTGCTTTGTTAAAAACAAAAATGAGCTACGGCTGATTAAATTGGGTTAGAGGCCAGCCCGACTAGATACCGGGGACACTAGACAGCAGCACACTCACACCACTCTGCGGGGACCGTGGTGATGGGTGGTTCTGCTTTCAAATGCTCTGTCCCCCTAAACACACCCATCCTTATGAGACTGGTTTTCCCAGGTGATGGTTCAGTAAATAGGGTCAGAGCTAGCACAACTGCTTCAGGAAGTTTCTTCAAGGCCCTCTCTCTCAGTCTGACTTGCAGCTGACCATCAGTTACCGTAAGCAGCTTCAGCTTCGCAATGTCACTAGCAGCTTCTACTTTTGCTACCTCTGGTTTCTCCATGGCACCGATTATAGCAGTCTGTTACACTGGGGCACCCAGTGGGCCACACCTCCCTTGGGAAGTGCGCTCTTCCTGAACCTGGTCTGGGCCTGACCACAGAAGTGATGCAGTGGCAGTTCCGGGCCTGTCTCTTAAGAAAGTCTGGCCACTTCTGCTTTTCCACCCTTGGGAGCTCTGAGCTGCCATGTAAGAGGCCCTGCTGCTGGAGAGGCCACATGGAGATGGAGAGACCCTGAGGACTACATGCAGAGAGTGAATGAAGCCCACCTGTCCCAGTGTCTCAGCCAACCTGCCAACTACATGAGTGCCCACCAGCCAGACTAGCAGAACAGCTCAGCTGAGCCCAGCCCAGATTGAAGAATAATGAACAAAAAAAAAGTAGTTGTTTGAAGCCACAAGTTTTGGGGTGGTTTGTCAGCAACAACTGATAAACAAAACACCGGTCATCCGAAGATGCCATTTTTCTATACACAAGACAATTACTCAATGCAAAGGAAATGTGGCCAATGTTTTCCTACCACAACCTTCTCAGTCAACAGGCTGAATGGTAGTTGGTCATCTGCTAAGAAGAAAAACACCTCTTATCCTAATGTGTACGTTTCCGTGATTTTTTAATACCAATGCAAAAGTAGACAGTCAATTTCTGACAGTCTGGGGCACTGGCTTCATTATCATTTAGCCTAAAGAAAGAGGCCATCAAAATGAATTATCCACCACAGGATAACTGATGGTAAATGAAATTGTTCCCACTTCTCTAGGATGTTGTTACTCAATTTTCCCACATCATTTCTCCTCTTATAAGTGCCCTATCATCCCCGATAAAGAGAGAAAAATGAAATTTGTTAAGGTTATAAAAGGAAAAAAACAACGCTGATAACTAGAATTTGAATCATCATCTGCAAAATATAGAGAGCAATTCAACTACTTCCTCAATTTAAAACAAAATTCTATAAAATAGAACACTGTCTACATTGTAGAGATGATTTCTTCTTATCTGAGAAAACGAGTAATTGGAAATCAGGTACTGTTGAGTTAGAATACAGTGGTCTTTAAATGGTTTCAAATTTTGCTTATCAAAAGGTAGTCAACCACATAATAATGCAAACCTTCCAAATTCAAATTTATTCTTCACATAAACTTTCTTGCATCTTTTCTTGATCTTTTTAGGGAGAGGGTGAAAGTCCATATCTGGGGAAGAAATAAGTGACAATTTTTAAGGAATGTAAATCTAAAAGCTCAGCAAAGTATTAAGCTATTTTAAAGTAGATGTAAAGCTTTTAAGTATACTACCCACTGAAATGGGAATTTCAACATGACATACTGAAATGAGTTTCTAACTTATCATTAACACATACATCACATCCTTGGGCCACCGATGTACAAGGGAGATGAACTCCCAGCAACAGAGCTGGAAGCTGTGGAGTTGATCCAGCTGGAGGCGAGAGAGTCCAGTACACCAAGTCACACAGTAGGTCAGAGGCCAACTGGGCCAAGAACGTGGGCGTCCTGCCTCCTAACCATCAGTGCCAAGTCCAGATGTTTCCCAGAGCCCTGCAGATCATCTCTCAGCTCAGCTCAGTTCACCAACTCGGATAAAAATTGCAGGAATGGTGATATCTGCTCTTCATCACCAATATCAACCATTTCTCAGTGGTAAGTGCTAATCTTGCCCCTTGCAGAATTAATTTCACATTTGATTTAATGCTTAATGAATTCTAAAGTAAATCTAGCTTAGAAAAAGAAGTATAGGGAGAAGAAAAAGCTGGCTTATAAAAATTATGGTACATTTTGCTAAAACACAATTTATTTGCAGTGCTTAAAAAAAATGCCACAGTTTATATAAACACTTAAGCAACAGAGCATTTAGCACTTAAATACCTATTTCTGTGCTGAAGATTTAGCAGGTCTTCTCATCTGAAACTTTTTTGCTGCTGCATCAGACCCACGTTTTCATAGACTCTAGCATTATCTTCTCTCATTCTGAAAAGAAAGTATATTTACAGAAATTCAGACCATACTGTTTAAACTCACATATTTTTAAAGCACATCCTATAAGGTTCTTTGTGACCAGACATGGTTCAGACATAGTTCCTTCCTCAAGGAGTGACATTCTAAATGGATATAAGGCATAAATTTACAGCATAATATAATTATGAAGTTAAAAGTGAAATCAGTCTCCAGTCACTCTGCTCTCTGGGATTTGGAGAAAAGGGAGCTCTTTTCCAAGCGGGTCAAGCGAGGGAGACCTATAGGATGATGCATTTGAGCTAGGCATTAAAGGACGTAGGCCATGTACAAATAGAAAGAACTGGTAATAATGTCAAGTCAAACCCAGTGTCACTGAGTTGAATCCCAACTCACAGCGACCCTATAGGACAGAGTAGAATTGCCCCATAGGGTTTCCAAAGCTGAAAAAACCTTTACGGAAGCAGACGGTCACATATTTCTCCTGCAGAATGGCTGGTGGGTTCAAACCAATGACCTTTCAGTTAGCAGCTGAGCGCGTAAGCACTGCGCCACCAGGGCTCCTTAATATCAAGTCAAGGAATCCGAATAGGCAGAAGCTCCAAGAAGCCAAGCACAGGTGCAGTTAGCAGGGACTATAGATGCGTTTAGCTTCAGCTCAGGCAACAGGAAGAACAGTGAACATGAAGCTTAACTGTAGTCTGGGGTCTCAGGAAGGAAGGCCAATGCATTTAAGAGCCCTGACTCCTTTTGGCTGAGCAGGACAAGGATGTCAACGGCTGTGGGAGACTGTCAGGAGGCACTTGGGTTATTCTGAGTCTGTGTCCTCCAAAGGGGACGGCAAGAATGATGAGACAGAGAGTCTGCTGGTCACAGGCATGCCACCGGTAGGAAGGGAGTCCTCAGAGCTGACCCTGTTGTGGCAACATGTGGGCAAAGCTCTCTGGCAAGGACTCGGAGCCATAACTTTCTGGTTCCATGGCAAATTACTACAGATGGCAATTTAAAATACCAACTCTCCTAGTCAGCCCACTGGGAAAGAACAAAGTAGGCAGAAGGAAGGGGCACACTGGTGGAGAGAATACTTTGGGTATATAATTTCATTTCAATGTTAGATAGGAAGCAAGTGTAAATACAAGCCTCATATATGCGATCTAAACTGTTTATACAGAATATTAAAGTCAGCAGAGGTTTAAAAATCCACACCAGAAGCAAACAGATATATGATTCTTAGGGGAAAATAAAAAGTAAATGTTATGCTAAAGAGAGTGACTTTAGAATATATAGAAAAACAGTGCCTTACAATTGCTATTCCCATAATCAATTTAACAAATGTTTTCCTAGCACGTTTTAGTTTAAACAAGGAGTCTGCAAAGTTTTTCTGCAAAGCACCAGATAATAAACATTCTCAGCTCTTCAGGGCATATATGGTATCTGTCATATATTCTTCTTTGCTGTTGTATTTTTACAACCTTTTAAAAATCATTTTTAGCTCATGGGCCATACAAAAACAGGCCCTGGCCCAGATCTGGCCTGCAGGCTGTAGTTTGCTGATCCCTGGTTTAAATGCCCAAAGTAGACTTCTGGAAAGTTAGCAGATCAGGGTTATGTTGACACATCAATGGTCAAATTACTTTTATTTCACAGATGGTCTTAACACATCATAAGGGTTGTTACCTCTGCAACAACCCTTTTAATTTTCTTTGAAAAGAAAAATCAAATTCTTCTTGGAGAACCACTGATAGACTAAGTGTTGTTGTTCGGTGTCATCAGGTCGTTTTTGACTCCTAGTGACCCCATGTGACAGAGTAGAACTGCCCCACAGGGTTTTCTTAGCTGTAATCTTTACAGAAGCAGATCGCAAGGTCTTTCTCTTGTATAATCCTAGCTAGTGTGGCAATCAGCCTTCAGTTTAGGTAAATTAAAATTTAGCTTAGAAAGCAGCATCAACACAATCCAGAGAAAATGCTCGTCACTGACACACTAATTGATCGGTAACAGTAAGGAACACCAATGCAATGCACATGCTGCAAAGACTTGCTGTGTTTTAAGCCTGTCTATAGAACTATGTTCAGGTAAAAAAGAATTTCTTTCACCACTACTTACTCTGTACAGGATGGTGTTGGGGTACAAGGCGGGAGGGGACTCTGATCTCCACTGGCCTGGTCCGCTAGAGAATACTTAATATTTGTATATTCATGCCCTTTCCTCTTGCTTTTCTGAAAGTTGAAGATGACATATAAGGACACAGGAGTTTTTTTAAAAGAATAAAGAAGCAAAAAAAAAAATTTTTTTTCACCAAAAAAAAACCAGACAGACAGACAGATGGGTATTGATATGATGCATGATGGTGGGAAAATTCACCTTCTTAATGTAAATACACCATATGGGTGAGAAGTACTTTTGAACCATATAACTCCAAATCTCAGAGTCGCGCATTAACAATTTACTGTATCAAACCAGATGTACCTGTTCCTGAGCTAACAGAGAATTCACATTGTCTTTGCCACGTTAGCATCTAATCATTTCATAGTTCATTTGCAACACATTCAATGATTTTCAGGTAAACAGGTGGGAAAGGAGATCCAGAAATAAACTCACTTCAAGTAGAAATGGCACACAGGTCTATAAGATGGCGGTGCTCTATCAGGAACATTAATACTTTTTGTCATATCTTTTTTTTTTTTTTTAACCTGGAAAATACCCTAGCATTTTTTAAACTTTATTTTTGGCTCTAAAAATACTCTGAAAAATTTTTGCAAAAAAAAAAAAAACCATGAGAATGTAATCTCATCTCAGATACGGAGTGAACTGCATTTTTAGTAGGGCTCCCAGTTAGATCATTTTCATCACCGTTCTCTGCTCCTACATTCACCTAGAAACAATCAGTTCTGCAAATCTAATCCATCAAGTTATCATCATTATATAATGTTGCCTTCATTATAGGATTGCTCAGAAAATGGCAAATATTGGGAAGAATATCCATATCAAATACTGACGTACATTTGGAGAACTTTCACTTTTGCTGATGCAAGGGCAAATGGTACCATCACTTTGGTGAGCCATCAGTGCTACTAGTTAGTATCCAGTAAAAATGAAAAGGCATATACTCTACAACTCTGAACATCTACTTCTTGAGAAACTCTTGCACATAAACCTCAAAGACCTGTAAGAGGGTGTCCAGTGGAAAAACAAATGAATGTGATATATTCATATTGTGAAAAGATACACAATAGGGAAGAGGAACAACAAAAGAATGCACATATATCTCAAAACAGATTTCAGAGACAATGTTGACTGGAAAAAAAGCAAACTGCAGAACAGTGAAACAGTATGATACCATTTGAGTAAACATTTTAAACATAAAACAATGTTATATATTGGTTACAGATACCTGTTATTTGGACTTCTAAGTATAAAAAGAGACCACAAGGCTAGTTATTGTCTTGGGGTGAAGGAGGTAGAGATGAGGGATGGAACAGGCGATAGGCATCAAAGGGAACCTCACCTGGATCTGCTACACTTTATTTCTTTTATAAAAGAGTGGAAGGAAATGCGGCCAAACGAAAGGGTCAGTTATGGGTTGTTGTTGCTAAAAGGAGCCCTGGTGGTGCAGTGGTTAAGCAGTCAATTGCGAACCGAAAGGTCAGCCGCTCCATGGGAGAAAGATGTGGCAGTCGGCTTCCATAAAGATTCACAGCCTTGGAAACCCTATCGGGCAGTTCCACTCTGTCCTATAAGGTTGCTATGAGTCACAATCAACTCAATGGCAACAGGTTTTTGGTTGTTGTTAGGTGCTGTCCAGTCAGATTTTCAACTCATAGCGACCCCATCTGACAAGAGTAGACCTGCTCTATAAGGTTTTCTAGGCTGTGATTTTCACAGGAGCAAATTACCTGGTCTTTTTCCCATGGAGCCAGTGAGGGGGTTTAAACCACCAATCTTTCAGTTAGCAGCCAAGCACATAGCCGTTGCACCACCAAGGCTCCTTAATTATAGGTTATGGTGCTGTATTTTTTTTTTTTTTTAAGTTTTCCAAAAGAAGTATTAAAACATAAATTTAGGAATAGGTAAGAGTGATGGGCAAACAACATGATGAACATAATTAACGTCACTCAACTATACATGTGAAAACTGTTGAAATGGCACTTTTCGTTACATATATATTTACCACAATTAAAAGAAAAAAACTGTATTAAACCATGTGATAACTCTGTATTAAACTCCCCAAAGAAACAAAAACATAAAAGAAATTTAAATCTATCGATAAGGTTTTTCTTTCCCTCACTCAAAACCCACCAAAAACAACAGCTAATAAACAGTGGAAAATCTCATTACCCATAAAATAAGGGAACACTCCACTCTAATTTAGAAACTATAAAGCATCTCTGTGATAATACCGGAGAGCTGGGTGGGACCAAGGGAGGAAGCTGAGAACTGACACATGACCACTCAGATTTCAAACAGGAAATAGAACTGTGGAAAGTGAAAGGCCATAAACCCCTGTTAAAGTTATGACACCTAGGCGTGTGGGTAGGCAACCGCACCGTCTCTCAAACATCCATGATAAAGAATCATATGGATCTCCTAGCAGAAAAAGCAAGTCCCATATACGGGGTATAATCAAACTGACTTTAGAGTTCAACACAACCGCCTAATTCTAAAAAATCCCATGGGAAAGAAAAATGGCCCAAGAATCTTATACCCTGCTAAATTATTCTTTAGATATAAAACCAATGATCAGATATTTCCAAGCAATCAAAAATTTAGAACGCAATATTTTTAAAAACCGCAGGTAATCTAGCTAATAGAGAGAAACCAACATCAAAATAAAGAATTTAGAGAAAGAAAAACCATGATGAAAGTACTAGTAGTGAGTATTGACTGAAATATAATGCTAACACTACAATCAAAATGGAAGTAATAAGAATACTGATATATTGTGTAAAATGTAACCGATGTCCCTGAAAAATACGTACAGAAATTGTTAAATGAGAACCTAATTTCCTGTGTCAACTTTCACCAAACTATATATATTAAAAAATAATAATAATAAATAATGCTAACACTAAACTACGGGGAAGAGAGCTAAAAATGTCACAAATTGTATTAAAAATCAGATGGTAAAAGAAAAATGTACGAATTCTCTTTCACTGACGGAATTAAATGGGTATCAATTATAATAATAATAAAACCAGTTAATATGTTCTGAGCATTTACTTTGTACCAGGCACTATCTGAATGTATTATCTCATTTTCATCCTCATAACAACCTTTTGAAATAGATAATGTTATTAACCCTGTTTTATAAAGGAAGTATACAATTTCTAGGTGTGCCCTTAAAACAAGGGTTGGACAACTAATAGCCTATGGGACAAATCTAGCCCGAAGCCTGTTTTGTACAGCCTGTGAAGAAGAGGAGGAGGACAAGCAACACAGACTGTATGTGGCTGCAAAGCCTAAAATAGTCACTATCTAGACCTTCACAGATAAAGTTTTGTTGACCTCTGAGTTAATAGACAGCTGCTTGCCCTCCACTACCTGGTGCTATCTGTGACCAAATCATCCTTAAAGGCAGTAGAGCGACAAGACAGAATGTACCTAGTTCCCTGGATGACCCTGTGGAGCAGGGACCATAAACTCCCTCATCCTCAAACAGTCTGCCAGCTCAGACTTTCATGTAGGAGAGAAATAAGCTTCTATCTTGTTTAAGCCACTATTCTTTAGCCTCTGTTAAAAAGCGGCCAAACCAATTTGTTAACTGATAAAGCAGTTAACTTACAGTCTAGCAAAGAAGTTGCAAGAAAGACATCCAAAGAGAAATGTTTTGTTTGGTCCACAGAGTATTTTACTTTTTTTGAAACAACTGTTTTTAAAAAATTTGGAGATTTTAGTAACAAATTGGCTCAAAAAATAATGAATATCACCTGTTAAATACTGTGCTCCTTTAAAAAAAATTCCAGTGTGAGACCAAACGGTCAACAATTATTCTAAAACAAAGATGAGAATGTAGGTGGCAGGGAAAATAGGTTAATGGAAACAGAACAACCAGAATGGAAACAATGAGAATGTTCACGCCTTGTGTAAGAATGTAACCAATGTCACTGAACAACTTGTGTAGGAATTGTTGAATGGGACCCTAAATTGCTAATTAAAAAAAAAAAAAAAAAAAAATCTAGAGCCTGAGACCAGAAGAATAGATGGTGCCCGGCTACCACCAATGACCGCCCTGAAAGGGAACACAACAGAGTCCCTGACGGTGCAGGAGAAATGTGGGGTGCAGAACTCAAATTCACATAAAAAGACCAGACTTAATGGTCTGACTGAGACTACAGGAACCCAGAAGACATGGCCCCCCGACTCTCCGTTAACCCAGAACTAAAACCATTCCCGAAGCCAACTCTTCAGACAAAGATTAGAGTGTACTATAAGACATAAAATGATACTCGTGAAGAGTGTAGCTTCTTAGTTCAAGTAGATAAACAAGACAATATGGGCAGCTCCTGTCCAGAGGCGAGATGAGAAGGCAGAAAAGGATAGGAGCTGGCTGAATGGACATGGGAAACCTGGGGTAGAAAGGGAGAGTGTGCTGTCACATTATCATTATAGGGACAGCAACTAGGGTCACATAATATGTATATAGATTTTTGTATGAGAAACTAACTTGAGCTGTAAACTTTCGCCTAAAGCACAAAAAATCTGGAGATCTCACATTTGAAATAAAAATTAGCTTTTAAAATAACTTGCTTATATTTGAGGATATGAATTTTCAAGTGAAGCCCTTGTGAATATCCACCTCAGAATGGCAGCCATACATTTTTAACAGTGAAATCTTATATAAGAAGCAACCTTAAAAAAAAAAGATACAATATATTAATATTAAATGGGAAAACTGGCAGAGAACATTACTTATTTTAAAACTTATTCTAAAGCTTAAAATTTTTAATTCATTTTTAAAAATAAAAAAATATATACAGTGACTAAAAACTGCAAAGTGACCTTGCTTTTTTACTTTACTTTCTTGAAAACCAACATCAATTATTTCTCTCTCAAGTGATTTAAAAAGAGGAATTTTCTAATAAGGAGCAATTGAGACAAGTGAGACAGGTATTATTTCAAGGAACCAAAGTAGACCAAGGAAAAGCATAAAAACGCTGGAGCTTTTTAGCTTATTTAGGAAGAACGAAAAATAAAATTGATTCGCAAACCAGACGAGCTTGTCTCAGTACTGTGACAGCCCAGGCTGTCTTACAGAGTCTTTTTTATAGGTTGTTTTGTTTTGCGTTGGGGGGTTGGCAAGCAATGTGTATCTGAGGCCTAGAAAATAACCTGAAATTTATTTACGCTCCACCTGCATTCAATGACATAGCATGGTTACCAAGGCTTTCACAGTGTTTATAATAAATCTTAGGGCCTTGCCAACTGATGCGCAGCCAAGGTTGAGAGGAGGGACCTACCTTGAGACTCTAAAATCATCTGGTATTAAATGTCTTTCCATGTGAAATAACTGTGACTGCATGCTTAAACTTTAAGTTATAAAAAGCCCACTGCAGTGAGACAGAGTAATATAGAAAGCTCTTGTCTAGGTTACCGAGCAACAAGGCTACTGAGACTACTTGTTCAGTGTGCTGTAGGTTCAAATGACAGCATCCAATACTGTGACTCCTTCCGCATCTGATCACAAACCTTACTGACTCTATTCTCTCCACCTCACTGTGCCCTCCACCCACTCTGCCCAAACCACAGCCAGCTCTCACCTACACTCCAGCCTCCTCACTGTCCCCCGCAGCTGCTCAACCAGGTGCCAACCCATTTTTCACTCTCAAGCCAGGGCCATGTTTGTAAATGAGCATCATTTTATGTCACTCCCCTACTTAACACTCTACTAAATGAAATTAGGTGACAAATTCCTATATTGGATCAAACAGTACAATCCAGAAAACTATGTATTACAGAATCCCACTTTTTAAAAGAAATCACCTCAGTCAGCCTACACATTTTTAAAAAATCAGAAGGCCCATACAGCAAATAGTTAATGGTGCTCCAGGCTGTGATGGTACCAAAAAATATCAGCTGAATGAATGAGTGCAAGCATTCTTGGGGATGGGATTATAGGAGCATTCACTTACTATATTCTATATTCTGTAACACATAAATTAGGAACATGTTTTGCTACCAAAAAAAAAAAAGGAGGGGACAGCAGTAAAGTGTTTTTTTTTTTTTTTTTTTTTAAGTAGTTCCTAAATCAGAGTTAGGGTCAAGAGACCATATATGGTCATGAGAAGGTCTGAAGTGCTATAAAGGTTGGGAGGGGAAATCCCTACATTCTCCAAAACAACAATCAAAATCAAAGCTTGAAAGTGAAATAAAGCTAGCTTTCTCTCCAGCTTGTCCAAGCAAGACTGCATGATGTGCTTCAAGATACTGCTGAACATCTCCCAACTTGCAGCAACTGGGCTGCATTCTCTCTGCAGCTCTCAGGGGTCCTTCTCTTTGGGCAACTTCATGCTTAAACTATTCCTGGTCCCAGTTAAGTACAGCTGAAAGACAAACCTTAAGTGACCTACAGTGAGAAATTAAAGGTTTCCCAGCCCTTTCACAGCACTTACAGTAATACAGATTAAGATCTAGAGCACTGAAGTTCAAACCTGGTAGCTTGTTAATTATGTAAACTTACATCTCTATACACAACTGTTTCTGCAGATGTTTTTGTATAATGAAACAATCTCACGTATTTTTGTATGGACTGAGGACCCAGTAAACTAATTAACAGGCACCTTACTTTGGCTAACCAGGCCTTGACAATGTGGCTGCCATTCTGCTAGGCTGGAAATCTTTCAGTTAGGTGGCCAGTCCCATTTTGGGAAGCCGAGTTGCCTAGAAGGCACGATACAGGGTAAAGATGGCAAACGTCATTGATGTTTACATACACTACCCCATCTGCAGCATAGCAAAAGGGGGGCGGGGCGGGTAAGCATAGCTCCCCAAAAGAGCAGCCTTCCTCATTTCCCTCGTTTCAGCGTATTCCTGATTAACTCAGCTTTGTGTCTGGTATGAATAGCTTCAAATGGAAAGGCTCCAATTCCACATTCTTCATTACACACGGCTTATTAAAACGGAAATTTCACTGTTTCCAACTAGACCAAATTGGCGGTTCGAATTGCTATTAGAGGGAGGCGTTCATTTTAAGAGGTGGAATCAGGATAAATGCGACCCGGATCAAAGCTGGAACGGGCTGGGAACGTGGAGGTTTTCAGTTCTAAGCTGGCCGTGCGAGCCTGGGAGAATCATACCCTTTCTGCGTGGCAGTTCTCCAACCTGCCCAGCCAGGATGATAGCACAGCGCCCCTCCCTGAGCTCCTGTGGCCTGAAACTCAGAACTGTGAAATAGTGGATAATTACAGTTTCCAGAGAGGCCCCTCCTGGCTGGGACCTTGTTTCCCATTCCCGAGTAAAGATAGTCATCTATCAGCTCATGCCCTCCTGCTCAAAATGAGGGCAGTGAAGGGTGACCTGGGCTAACTGTGCTCTCTTAAGACACAGCCAAGCAGCTCCCCAGGCTCGCACCTGCTCTTCTTCAATCCTACGCTGTAGTGTTTCGATATAGTGCTGGACGGCCATATAGATGAACCGGTATTGTGCTTCTGTCTGGACCATCCCTGACCTCTGAGACCGCACCATCTGGATGGTTTTGGGAACGTCAATGTCGCAGTCGACGCCTACAAAGGAAACCACACGAAGCATCGTCAGGGGAAACTGCAGAGCCAGGATGAAGCTGTTTAAGGTGCAACTTTTAGCAGACTCGGAAATAAGATGGATTTAGTCTTTAACGTTCTAACAGAACGTGTTCCAAGGGCTACGGCACTGGACTGCTAACCAGTAATCCCAGAAGATGCCATGATAAATGTCAGAGGTCAGGACTGCTGCCCTCTCTAACTGCACCACCTCCCACCTTCCCTCCACTGCCCGCAAGGATTAAGTAGCTGAGTAGAGACCACCACTGCACATTCAACAACAGGCCAGAGCAGCGGAGTCCACAGCTCCCAGGCTTCATCTGATGCCAGGAGTTCAAATAACATCACTTCTGTTCTCTGCCAGGCATATCGAAAGCTGAAGTCTTCAACTCAGATGTTGTTGAAAATTTCTTAACATTCAAATTCTCTCCCCCAGCCTATTTTCACCAGCACTTTCCTTCCATAAACTGAAAACAGGAACTGTAGCTTCTTGCCCTCCAGAGGACCCACCTTTCTCTCTGATGATGTCAATGAGGATATCAATCACAATGAATGTCCCTGTTCGGCCAATGCCAGCACTGTGGGCACAAGGACAAAAAGCAGTGACAACAGAGCCATTCACAGAGGTTTTATACTCAAAACCAAGCTATAAGTATTAACAGAAACAATGTCTGCTCTTGGGAGTATTTATATATTTGAAAATATACCAGCAAAGAACTTAGGGCTTTGGAATCAGCCAAACCCGCAACAGGAGACAAGATTCTCCAGTGTAGTATGCCAGAGGCAGTTCCTTAACCTCTCTGACCCTCAGTTTCCTCATTTGTAAAATGGGAATAACAGTATACACCCGACAGGATTGTTGTGAGGAACAAATGTGATTAATGAACGGAAAACACTGAGCTCAGAGACTGGCACAGAGCAAGTGCTTGTACGCCCCTGCTGCCATCCAGTTGATTCTGACTAATAGCGACCCTATAGGAAAGAGTAGAACTGCCCTATAGGATTTCCAAGGCTATAATCTTTATGGAAGCAGACTGCCACATCTTTCTCCCACGGAATCGCTGATGGGTTCGAACTGTCAACTTTCAGTTAGCAGCCAAGCACCTATCCACTGAGCCACCAGAGCTCCTTAAGTACTTGATAGAGAAAGTTTTTTAAAAAAAAAAAAAACAGTTGCCATGGAGTTGACTCTGGCTCATGGCGACCTCGTGTGTGTCAGAGTAGAACTGTGCTCCATAGGGTTTTCAATGGCTGACGTTTTGGGAAGGAGATCACCAGGCCTTTCTTCCGAGGCACCTCTGGGTGGACTCTAACCTCCAACCTTTCAATTAGCAGAGGTCAAAACCAATTTCCTGGAACCCTCTGTACCACCCCGGGACTCCTCAATAGATGATAACTTCAAAAAAGAAAAAAGGGAACAAATCAAGATTCACACATATCTCCTTGCCCAACATACGAATGAGATTCGAGAAATCAAACTCTCCCAATGTAACCATGAAGTGCAAATGTGGGCACCAGCAGCCCACAAACCCTGGTGCAGAGACCATGATCACAGTGTCCATTGAAGCCCTGGGTGGGAAGCGGTCCAAGTCTCTTGAAGCAAACAAGTGTAGTGGCAGGGGGAAAATATATCTTATTTCCATGGTAGAAGAGAATAGAATCACAACCAAAGGGATAAATCCTAAATTACCAGATTAAAAAAGAAAACCAAGCAAAAAATGCTAGATTAGGTATCCTTGAGAACAACAAGTGTGTCCTGAGACTAAAGACTGTGTCTCCCCCTGGCCCTAGCAGCCCTGTAGGATCTATGAGAAATATACTTTGGGGTCACAATGTTCCTTAATGCAGTTTAGCCTCTAATACAATGAAGTTTCTTCTACAGTTAAAGAGCTGAAGGTAGGGGTGATAAAAACAGGCCCCGGGAATTAGGGGACAGGGGCAGGCTACAGTCCAGAGAGGCGTAGGGGGCTGGTTACCTGCAGTGAACCACCACGGGCCCCGCATCCACGATGCTCTCCTGCTTGTGGTGGACCTCCTCCAAGAAGTCCAGCACACCCCCGGGGTCACTGGGCACGCCATGGTCCGGCCAGGTCCGAAAGTGGTATTGCCAGACGGTTCTCTCTGTATTCCCCTGGAGTAGAGCCAAGAAAAACCAGAAACGAATTAAATAAACCAAGGGGCTGAGGAATCGCCCAGTCATGATCCTTCCTAGATCCTACGTGAACCCATGGAGCTAGCAGGCGCAGAATCTCCTCACGCTCCTGTGAAAAGCCCTCCTCAGGAGCTTCCCAGGGCTCTCCCTGGTGGGTCTGGCTGAGCTCTCCCGGGGGCGCCTCTCTGCCTCTGTCAGAAAACCCAAGACGCTTCTTAATGGCAACTTGTTCTTCAGGAAACTCATCTATCTGAGTCATCCCTAGTGGGTAATGCCCCCATTCCTCCTCATCCAGGTGCATGCAGCTCACCTTAGGGAGATGACTGAGGCCTCTGGGGACGTAGGTCTGTCCTCCCACCAGATGAGAACACAAGTATTCTCTAAAGACACTTGTTCCTCTGTCTTTTTATACTCAACACGCTCCCCACCACGTACACATACACTTTGATCATATCATCATTATACTTTAAACTTGTTTAGTGTAAAGTAGGTAAGAAGACTCTTCAATCGGATGGCTAGATTTTGGCTCAAATCCCAGTACTCACACTCACTATGGCCCTTGAACATCTCTAAGCCTCAATTTCTTCATCTGCAAAATGGGAATAATACTACCTCTCTCATGGTACCATTGTGAGGATTAAATGAGGTCACTGAAAAACACAGTGAGTGCTCAGCAAACAGTAAGCAGCTCAGCACACTGCAGCTATTGTGAGGAGGCTGATAATTAATAAAGGACACAATGGCACCAAGACTGCGAAGACCAAAGAGTTATCATGTTTCGGAGTCTGCCCAGAGAGGTAATTGTAGCAGCACCATTCACTGCTACATCTTTTTCTACAGAGCTGGAGACAATGCACAGCTAAGTGACATTTGAAAAGGGGGTTTGGAAAAAAAAAGTCACTACACTAACTTCCACACCAGTGACCTTTAGATTACAAAGTGTACCTCCGAGGAACCTGAACCACAATTAAGATCTTTTCCTGAATTACATGCATTTAGGTTTGCTGATGTCATGAAACAAATTTCCTGGATGTTACTGAGTAACCTAAAGACCAGGTGGCTACACGGGTAATAGAAAGGACAACTGGGAAGGAGAGATCTGGCCCCTGCCTCACTGTGCCTCTCTGCTCCTCCCCCTTGGTACGTGGTCACGGAGGTCTCTGCCTGACTCCTTCCCAGGAGGCCACGAGGAATGAGATCATGGGACGGCACTCTGGAACAAACGTAAAACGGTATGCAAAAAGCGGATAATACGCCGCCGGCAATTCTGCAGAAATCATCAGTCCTGTGTTAATACCTGCACCCAGGGTGCAAATCACAAAGGCAACACCCACATCTCCCTGACCTGCTACTTAGAAACCTCTGACAGTGAGAATGTGGGCAGTTTATCGCTACATTGAAGAAACATCTACCTGCTGCTCAAACATCTAATAATGACAGGATGGGCAGTTCATCACCAAAACTGAAGAAAAATCTATCTGGAGTCTTTGTCCAATGGCCTCTAAATTTCACACTCATTTCTGCTTGACAGCTACATTTCTCTAGTTCTTCTCAGTCTCTTAGATAGACTGATCCTCCACCCCCTCCCCGTCATCACTAGAGCTGCACCCTTCTGAAAGCAGAATGCGAACATCTCACTCCGGACCACAACCTCACAGACTTCCAGCTCACTTTTATCCCCCGACCCCATGAGGCTCACCACACCGCTGCCCCTCCTCCTTCCACTTCCCACCAGCACCCTCTTGCCCTCGCTTCCCTCCTCATTCAGCTTAGAGCCCACACACTATCGTGACAATCACTTTCCATCACCTACCTCCGCTCCGTCGGTCCTCTCTCCATCCACGGCACCCACCTGCCAAAATCCCAACCCTGGAGGACCCAGCCACCCAGTCCCTCTCTGTTCTGTACCCAGGAACACAGTGTCCTTGGAGGGAAATCACACAGCCAGGTAGACTGATGGCGCTAAACAGTCATGTTCACCACCGCAACGGGGCACTCGGCACAGCCTGGACATTTACTGCAGTTCTTGCCCTCTCTACACAATTGCTCTTTCATACTTTTCCCAGTTTCCTCAAATATTTCATCTCTTCTTCCCTTCAAAGTCAACTGATGCCTCACACCTCACAGAGAAAACCCTCTGCCCACCACCATATCCACTCACCTACCTATGGCCACTGTCTCCTTCCTTCCTGTTACCCCAGAAGAAATGCCCATGAATAATGCTCTGGATTCTGTCTCTCCTCCTTGTCCAACCTCCATGCCTGCCTCCCTGACACCTTCACTTGGATGTCTCAAAAGCATCTCAAGCTTTATGTGTCCAAAAGAGGGTTCTGCTCCTTTCCCTCCTTCCTCAAATCCACAGCTATCCACCCAGCTTCTTAAGCTAGACAGCTGGCGGTCATCCTTAACACCGCCCTCACCCCTAGTTCACTCCATCATCAAATCCTTTCATGTCGACCAGAGCAATGATCTCAGTTGGTCCACTTCTTTCCATCGTCCCTGCCACCGTGCTAGTTCAACAAGCCCACTGTCTTTTACCTGCTGGACAACTGCAGTAGCCTCCTTCCTAATCAGCATCCCTGAATCCACTGAATTCAACATTCTTGCCCTCTCCGGTCTCCACATTTCAAAAGCTCAGCTCCGACTGTGGCTGTCCAACACATTTAGGATAAACGCCCCCAACCTGACTCAGGTCCTGCAAACACACTGTTCCCTACGCCCTGAGAATCTTCCCTTCTGCTCTAAATTAGGCCCTCCAGAGTCCTACATTTTTTTGTTTCTAGGCCTCATTACAGTCTGTAATGACATATTGATGTGTATCAGTAATGAGCTAATGTACTTCTTGCCAGTAGAGTGCAAACTCCGGGAGGTGGAGACTTTATCTGTCTTGTGAGGACAAACACTATTTCATTCATCTCTGTCTTCCCCAAAGATCCTGAATAGTAAGCACAAACAGTAAACACAAAATTAAAGTGAATCCAAACCTAGCCCTGCTCTGTAAAGTCGGTCACCCCAGGACCAGTCATGAGCTAGGTGCAATAATGAATCTGATGAAATGGAATTTGATCACTAAACAGCCACAGGGTCTTTGCACTTGCTGCTCCTGCTGCTTGGACCAGCCCTCTCCTGACTCCTTGGAAGTCTGGCTGCTCTACCTTCAGATCTCAGCCCAACTGTCACCTCCTCAAAGAGGATCTTCCTTACAATCTCGAATACCCCTCACTCTCTAATACGTCACCCGGTGGCCTGCACAGCACTGAGCACAATTAGAAAGCTTATTTGGTTATTTACTTTTCAAATCTTCTACCTCTCTAGGAGCTCTGAGGGTGGGGACTGAGCATGTCTTGTTCACAATGTACCGCTAGTGCCTGGAACTGTACCTGACACACAGAAAACCAAACCAAACCCATTGCTATCGAGTTGAATCCCACTCACAGCGACCCTGTAGGACAGAGCAGAACTGCCCCACAGAGTTTCCAAGAAACGCCTGGTGCATTCAAACTGCCGACCTTTTGGTTAGCAGCCGTAGCTCTTAACCACTACGCCACCATAGAAGGCACCCGATAAATGGTAACTCAAAAAATGAGTGAATGAACGCATGAGTACATGTGAACATGACTACTGCATGACCCTGGATGGCTGCTAACCACTAACGGTTACCAAGGTCTCTAAAATAAGACAATATACTTACTTGCCCAACCTTCGAAAGTTTAAGTTCTCTTAACGTATAGTCGTGAGCGGCACTTTCTTTGACGTTCCTAACACGCATGACCCCATATTCTTTGAGGGCATACTCATCAGGCCAGTATTTGACACATTTACTCTGGAAAGGATCAAAGAAAAGAGTTACTCTCTGTGAACTCTGAAATAAAAGCCTCAACCATGGACTATTATTCACCCATAAAAAGGAATGAAGTTCTGATACACGCTGTAACGGGGATGAACCTCAACAACATGGTGCTCAGTGAAAGAAGCCAGACACAAAAGGCCACATTGTATGATTCCTTTTATACGAAATCTCTAGAATAGACAAATCCATAGAGATAGAAAGTAGACTGGTGGTTCCCAGGGGCTGGGGGAGGGGAGAAACTGCTTAATGGGTGCAGGGTTTCCTTTTGGGGTGATGAACATGTTTTGGAACTAGACAGAGGTGGTGGGTGCACAACATTGTGAATGGACTAAATGACACTGAATTGTTCACCTAAAAATGGGTAATTATGTGAATTTCATTTTAATAAACATAAAAAAAAAGAAGAAAAAGCCTAAACCCACAGAAAGCAAATGTTCAAGTCTTGCTGAGTCACTACTAAAAAACCCATTGCCATCAGGTCGATTCTGAGTCACAGTAATGACCATTAGCATGGAAAACAGTCTATCTAGCATCTAACTGTTGGATTTCCAAAAAGAAAGAAGAGTTCAAATATGAAAAGCAGATGCTCAGGGAACCCAGGATAAGTGGGAAGAGAAAAGCAGCTCTTGCAGAGCAGTCCAACCCAACCACATCTCAAAGGAGAGTCAGTGCTTGTTTCCTTCTTTCTAAAGAACCCAAGATTCAATGAGAAAGGTACCAACCAGTGTGAGGGTGCTGTCTGGCAACCACCGAGTTCTGAATTCTAGAGATCTGCCCATCACCCTGTAGAGAAGGCAGGCAAAGACTCTGGAGGTGGGTGAAGAGCCCAGCAAGCCAGACTGTCTGGTTCATTTCCGCGCCAGTGTAGGAGGACGCTGTGCCTTAGCTACCCAAGTGTGAACGACTCTCACAGAAAGGCAGCCTATGGGGTTTTGAACCAGCTGCTTTTTCTATATCCAGACCCATCTGATACCTACTGCACACGTCACTTTCCCTAAACTGGGTGCCTGGGAACGCCAAGTCTGCAATAGCTGCTGGCTTCAAGAGCAGGCGGATGGAAAAATATGGCACCAGGAAATTCATTCTTGCTGCAGCAAGGATGGGATTTCGCTAAATGAGAGATGGGTTTGTATACATTTTGTGATGTGGCCTGGGCAGAGAACGCTTCCCCACTCCCTTTCCACAACCACTGAGACAGAAATAGCACCAAGGAGCTTAGCTCGTGTGTTAGGAAGACAGAGAAATTGGCAGTTATAAAACAAGAAATGAGAGAGCAGCTACAAAGGTCATCACAGTTCAATAATTAATTGAAAAAGCAGGATAGAAGGAAAGCTCAATGAACATGTGGTACAACTTTTTTGCTTAGAATGGTTTATGTGGTCTTTTATTTATTATTACTCTGCATTCAGCTCTGTCTCTGGTACTTTGTAGATCTAAATATCTTTTTGACAGATTTGACAGAATTATGTTCCCCAGATAAACACTTCTAATATTCAATGAACTCAATGTTGTTAATGGCTAATCAATTCTGAGCACTGCTTCCAGTTACTTCAGAGAACTCAACAGAGGACATAAAGTTAAATCACGACCCCAAAAAGAACATTCTAGCTGGCTTCAAGCACATGCAAGCTGCTGAAGCCCTCCTCCCAGCTTTCCAGGCAGATTCTACAATGTGAGAGCTAACACTGTGGCTTTCACATGACAGCCCAGGAAGCGAAGGGAGCCTACGGGCTGGCTTTTCTTCTGTGTACTGGGGATACCAAGAGTAAACGGTCAGGAAAGCCTTTAGAGAGAATAAAAGCCCATCATCTCATCCTTCCCGAAACGTGAAAAGGAAGAATGGGAAAGCAGGCAGAGACAAGGTGGCGAGGGTGGGGCTGGGTGGTTTGGCCCAATGTCTGTGTGTTGTAGGCGCTTCCAGCAGCTCCTCTGAAAGGGACCGCTATTGATTTCTCTGAGATGACATAAGAACCCTTTCTTCAACATTTCAGAGGCGAAATGACATGAGGATCATTTCTTCACAGCCATCAAGTTCTCTGAGAACTGGCGGCCACCTGCAAACAATCAGGCATCGACCAGGACAGAGGGCTTCAGTTTTCCTCTCCATGCTTAGGGAAGGAAACACCCACCTGGAGCAGAAACTATAAGAACATTTTAACTTGCCCATTCATTCAAGAACACCCAATGCTACTGCAGACAGCTGCTGGAGGAAGGCTTTGTTTCACAACAACTAGATCTGGCCTCAAAAGTATTCCATAAAAATCTGGAAACGGATAGTGGTGATGGTTGCATAACATGTTGAACGTAATTAATGTCAATGGCTTGTACACGTAAAAAAGGTTGAAATGGTGTTTTGTTATATTTTAACCACAAAAAAAAAAAAAAAAAGATTCCAAAGTGTACCAACTAGGAGTACAACAACAAAAATCTTATAAAATACACATTGCCCTTCACAACTGATACAAAAATTACATTAGGAGTGCTAAAATCCAAAATCTGATCTTAGGTTTAATTTATAGGGATGACTGCTACATTCCATGTGATTCTTACATACACCAATAAAAGCGTATCTTAAAATGAACTTGAACTAGAACACGAACAAAAACATATAATGTTTCTATATTAAAAAATCCACACGCATGGGCTCGTTTTAGGAAAACAGATTTGGGGACAACTGTACACTCAGAGACTTGTCTACTTTTCATAGGTGTGTGTTACAGTTTAAAAAACTGCAGTATTGTGAAGAGGGAGGGGACATGGGTACTGCTGGAGGGCGGGGTCTGCCAGATTTAGTAACATGTGAGGCATGCGTACCCCCACAGTCCAGCAATGCTTCTTCTTGACATCTAACCTAGAGAAACACTCACCCAGGACACAAAGGCAAGAACAAGAGCAGACTACTCACTTGAGCACTGTTTGTAAGAGTAAAAACTGGGAACCTAAACATCCATCGAGGGCAGAAACAGTTCAAGAAATGATGGTACATCCACACCATGGAACACCACCCAGTTGCTAAGAAGAATTAGATAGGCTGGCATGTACTAATAGAGGAAGTTACAACATATATTTGCTAGGGGGAAGAAAAACAAGATGCAGAATAAAATCCAGTCTGAAAACAGTACTATGTATTTCTATAGTACATATAATGTACATGTAATAATAAGTGTATATCCAGTACATTGCTGCTGCTGTTGTTATTGCGTGCCTCGAGTCAATTCCAATCCCATATGACAGTAGATCTGCCCTACAGGGTTTCCTAGGCTGCAATTTTTACAGGAAGGAGCCCTGGTGGTGCAGTTGTTAAGTGCTAGGCTGCTAACCAAAGGGTCAGAGATTCGAACCCACCAGTCACTCCGTGGGAAAAAGATGTGGCAATCAGCTTCTGTAAAGATTAAAGCTTTGAAAACTGTATGGGGAAGTTCTTCTCCATCCCATAGGGTCGCTATGAGTTGGAATCAACTTGACGGCAATAGATTTTGAGTTTCTGGTTTTTAATCTTTATAGAAGCAGATCACCAGGTCTTTTCTCCTGCAGAGCAGCTGGTAGGTTTGAACCATCAACCGTTCGGTTAGCAGCCAAACGCTTAACCACTGTGTCACTAGGGCTCCTTATCCAGATATATACAGATGTAAATGCTGAGAAAACAGTGTGGAAGAACACACAGCAAACTGATAACAGGGCTTTTACTTTGGAGGAGGGGACTAAAACAGGTAGCAAAGGATGTCTTTATAGGCAACTTTTACCTCAACTGTAATGTGCTTGAATATTTACATGAATGTATCGTTTGGATACTTCAAATTAATTGTTTCAAATGCTTAAAAGCCACGATAATCATAATTTGCATGTCCAGTGAGATCACTGTTCTTTAAATAGTACTATGATCACCTGAAGGTACTAGGTAGGTCTTCATATACTCCCTTTCCGACTTTTGCTTCTGGACACAATGGAGTAAACAGAGGCCAGATTTACCCTACCACCTTAAACAACTGGAAAATACATGGGAACAATGGTTTGCAGACACGGGACAGCACACCGCTCGGGACAGTGATCCCTCAGAGAAGGGAAACAAACGAGGTGAGCCCTATGACAGCCCCAACTTATTCTCTAAAGAAGAGTCCCCAGGCTGCAGCACAGAGACGGGGAACCAAAACAGCCCAGTGGTCTCCCTGAGTTGAGGAGACAGAGTTGAGAATTCAGGCAAGTCAAGGCAGTTAGAATTTGCAGGGCAGAGTACCAGAGAGGAGAGCTGAACAGAGAGAGAGCTCTGAAGATCTGCAGAAGGTTCCCGCAAGTCTTCAGCTGAGCACTGATCAAATGTATACACGTGAGGAAACTACCTGAAACTGGGGAAAAGTGGGCAAAAGGAGCAGGAGGAACAATTCCCAAGGAATAATTCAGGTTCCCTGCAGACAGAGCCAAGAAAGCTTGTAATACAACGCATCGTGTTAAGTACTCAAAAGTGGGGCCAAATTAGCCCTAGACCAAAGGTTGTTATGGTTCTACCTAGCAAAGCTTTCAACTGAAGCCTTGAAAGGATCAGACTGCTTCCAAATAACTACATCCCAGAACAAAGCTCAAAATCATTTAAGAGAATTAAAAAAAAACAAAAAAACTAATGCCTAACAACAAAAAATTCTCAATGTATGGTATCAAAAAATTACCAAGCATGCAAAAAAGCAGGAAAATCTGACCTATAATGAAGACCCAGAAATGACACATACAACAAAATTAGTAGACAAGGACATTAAAAGTTATTATAGATATACTTCATATGTTCAAAAAGGAGCCCTGGTGGTGCAGTGGTTAAGAGCTCAGCTGCTAACCAAAAGGTTGGCAGTTCAAATCCACCAGCTGCTCCTTGGAAACTCTATGGGGCAGTTCTACGCTGTCCTATCGGGCTGCTATGAGTTAGAATCCACTCGACAGCAACAGGTTTGATTTGTTTTTTTTTTATATTCAAAAGGGATAGGAAAATATGCACATGTTAAGATATAAAAAAGTCCCAAATAAAACTTTTAGGGATGAAAAATACAATTATCTATGGTGAAAAATACACTAGATAGGACTAACAACAGATTACACATTGCAGAAGAAAGATTCATGTAAAGACACAGCAAAAGAAACTATCCAAAATAAAGCATAGAAGCAAATAAGACCGAAAAAAATCAACAAAGCCTCAGTGAGCTGAAGTCCCAGGAAGGGGTGGCAGTATGTATGTGTGTGTGTGTGAGAAAGCGAAAGAGAGAGAACGTACTTGAAGAAATAACAGCTGAAAAGTATCTAAATTTGAAGAAATCTATAAATCCACAGATCCAAGAAGCTCAACAAACTCCAAGCAGAAGAAACAAAGAAAAATATACCGATACACATCACAGATTTCTTTTACTCCCTTTTCAGAGAGTGAGTTCAAATAAACTTAATTTGTTCACTCAAGTCCTAACAGTCAATGTGACACATCCAATGCTGGAAAAGAAGAGCATTAAGCACTATACCTTTCCTCTCTCTACTTCTTTCGTTGTCATGACAATCACTCGGGAGTTCTCCTGGAACACCATCCGCCAGAAGTCGTTCACCGTGTTTTGCAGGCAGCCTTGGGTGGCAATGTAACTCTTTTTAGGTTTTGAATTGTTGCACTTGGTTTCAAATTCAGGCTAGAAATGTAGGAAGAAAAATTCCTTCAAACACTGAAAAGTTGCTTTCAGGACACGAGGAAGGGTTCATGATACAAAAATAGGCTAGCATTGTATGGTCAGAAAAGACTGTGAAGAACACAGTTTACCATTATAATATTTGCATTGATATAATCTGAAACAGGCTCGTTGGGATCACCATCGTGTAGAACAACTCTGGTGTGATCAACTGGAAGAGAGAGAGACTACAGTCACAAAAATATACCACTTCAGGGAAAATCAGTTCAAACCAGTTAATCCCCAGCCTCTTCCAAATTCTGTTTACTGAGTACTAAAATCACATAAAAAATTAAACCCCAAATGACCACAACAATAATCTGAACATAATGCCTCCATAACACTTGAAGAAGAACAAAGTACTGAATAAGTCTGTAAATTAATAGCATTGCACCAATGTCAACTTCTTGGTTTTGATAATGTTTTGATTATGTAAGATATTATGATTGGGGGAAGCTGGGTGAAGGGTACATAGGAATTCTCTGTACTATTTTTGTAACTTCTTGGGAGTCTAAAATTATTTCCAAACCAATTGTTAAAAAGAAGAAGAAAACACAAATGATATGACATAATGTCTGAGATTTGCTTTAAAATAATCTGGGGAAAGAGTATAAATGAGTATAATATGAGTTAATAATTATGAGTTAATAATTGTTGAAACTGAGTAATGGGTACATGAGGGTTCTTAATACTATTCTATATACTTTTAGCTATCTTTGAAAATTTCTATAATAAAAAGTCTTAAAATTTTTAATCAGAATGAAATACAGTATCTGTAGTGGTTTTAAGGATATGTCTGCAAATTCTTTGATATTTCTCCTCTCAAAAGGTAGAGTTTAATTCTCCTCTCCAGAGTGGGCTGGATTCAGTGATTCCCTGCTAACAAACAGAAGGCGGTAGAAGGACATCATGCTTGGAAGAGTAAAGGAACAGCAAAAAAGAGGAAGACCCTCAATGCGATGGATTGACACAGTGGCTGCCACAATGGCCTCAAGCATAACAACGATTGTGAGGATGGTGCAGGACCAGGCAGTGTTTCGTTCTGTTGTACGTAGGGTTGCCATGAGTCGCAGTTGACTCGACGGCACCTAACAACAACAACAAGAAGTCACTTCCAAGATTAGGTGATAAAAATGCTGCAGCTTCTGTCTTGGGTGTGCACACTTGCTCGCTCTCTTTCTCGCGGAGCACTTGCTCTGAGGGAGGCCAGATGCCGTGTCGTGAGGCAACCTATTTGCTGAGGAACAGAGCCCTGCCAACAACATGAGTGAGTCTGGGTTCCAACCCTTCCCCAGTTGAGCCTCCAAAGAACTATAGCTCCAGACGACACACTGACTGCAGCCTCATAAGAGGCCCCAAGCCAAAACCACCCACCTAAGCCCCTCTTGAATTCTAGACCAACAGAAATTGTGAGATAATGAATATTTGTTGTTTTAAGCTGCTAATTTTCAGGTAATTTGTTACACAGCAATAGATAGTTAATATGATATCTAACGAAGAGACAAGCAACCTAGAAGACAAGATTCTGATAGTATTGACTGGCTAAATTCTATACACAAGTGCATTATTGGTATAAGAATCCGAGTGCTCTACCAAAGCAATATATTTTATAATGGGATTTAGTAATATAGTTGTCTATCTTAATAGAATACTGTTCTTTTGCCTCAGACGCCTCATCTTTAAAGAAATGAGATGTTAATTAGAGGAAACACCCGCTTGGGATCTTTAAGGGGGTAGGGGAAGCAATATTCTCTAAGACGTTGCATATTATCGTTCCCTTCATCTTTTCCTACATCCTACATCTTACTAATGAGTACCATTAGACCCCTGAGCGGAAGTGAAAACCTAGACATAAAAAGGAAGAGACTTCTCCCAGGTCATTAGGACCACGCTGTGGCTCAAATTGCTTCTCTACAAATTCCTCGTTGCCTTCCCTTAGCATTACATCTCTACTTTCTCCCATTCTCCCTTAATGCACTACAAGTATACATACGGAAGTGATATGCATAGATCATCATGTATATATACATATGTATGTAGCAAAAGAGGAGCCCTGGTGGTGCAGTGGCTAAGTACTTGGCTGCTAACAGAAAGGTCGGCAGTTTGAACCCACCAGCTGCTCCACGGGAAAAAGATGTGGGAGTCTGCTTCCGTAAAGATTACAGCTTTGGAAACCATGTACGGCAGTTCTGCTGAGACCTACAGAGTCACTATGAGTTGGAATCGACTCAGTGGCAATGGGTTTGGTTTATTTTTTTGTAGGAAGAGAGAAAGACTGTGCTTCTCTCTCACACACACACACACACATATAGACAGCACGGTTTACAGTAACTGATGGAATGAATGGCTCTGATATGATGAGACATTAGAGCACAATGCTATTCAAATCTGATCATACACCCCAACAATAAAAAGCTTGTGCACACTGAAATACATACACATTATGTACACATTGTCCATTCACTGTCATGGGTCTGCTGAGAAGGGCACATGGCCCCTGGAAGAAGTTATGGGGACACTGGGACCAAAAATCACTGAGCAGAATATTGATACTTACAAGGCAGGATGTTTTTATATCTATTTTTGTTTTTATTTTCTTGCCTCTGACCCTCTTTGCGGCTGTAGAGAAGTTTGCACTCCTGCTGTTGTAGTGTCTAGGAGAAACAGAAGTAAATACTATGTGTCAAAATCTTAAAAAGAAAAAAGCCCTGGCTCAGCATTTCTGCCAGGAGGAATTCACCCTAGGAAATGTTCAGAGTTGTATGCAATAGTTACAAAGATGTTCATCTTAACACTGCTGACAATGCAAGTACATTAGAGACAACATAAATGTCCAACAGGAAAGGACTGCCTAAATGAAACTGGCATTCATTCATACAAAGGAATGCTCTATAGCCATTTAAAAAGATGTCCTAGGACAGCCCCATAAAACAAAACCGACTAATAAGGCACAGCAGTCCAGGGACAAGGACTAGAAGGCAGAAGGGGACAGGAAAGCTGGTAATAGGGTACCCAAGGTTGAGTAAGGACAATGTTGACATGTAGTGGGGTTGTTAACCATTGTCATAGGGCAACATGTGTAGTAACTGTTTAATGAGAAACTATTTTGTTCTATAAACCTTCATCTAAAGTGAGAATAGCAGCAGAACTGAAGAACATAATCGATGTCACTGAATTGTGCATGTAGAAATTTTTGAAATGGTCTATCTTTGGCTATGTCTATTTTCACCAAAAAAAAAAAAAAAGAAAAAAAAAAGGTCGAGAAGGGAGAGGGTTGACATGCCGTGGGGTTGTTAACCAATGTGATAAAACAATATGTGTATTGACTGTTTAATGAGAAACTATTTGTTCTGTAAACCTTCACCTAAAGTACAAAAAAATTTTTAAAAAGATGTCCTAGGAGAATATTTAATGCCTTGCAAAGATGATCAGAACTAAGTGTTAAGTGGTGAAAAAAAAAAAAAAAGCTCAAACTTCCAAAACTGTATGATGTAAAACCATGTTTGCATTGATCTCTGTATCTAAGAAACACAGAAGGGTATACACCAAAGAAATGACAGTCATTTTTTTTTCTTCACAGCAGTGGGATTATGCATGACTTTTTTTCTTCTGTTTATTACCTGTTTTATTTTTCTAAATTTCCTACAAGGAATAAACAGAATATTTATAGGAAAAAAATTTTTTTAAGTAGCCATTATTAAGAACGAAAGTCAACAAATGTTGGTGTAGAATATACAAATAATAGATGTGATCCAAGTTTTTGAGGAGTTTACAATCTGCTTACTTTTACCATTGACTTATTCAGAGCAAACAATAGTCAGTTCTCCAATTTGGACATCAGAGGACAGTAGAAGGTATTTTTGGTGTCACTGATCGTGGGATCCAGACAAGCTTTGTCAGCAAGGCTTTCGAGTCTTCCTAGGCCAAAAACCCATGTCACCTCCACCTGCACCCTCCCTCCTTCCCGAACAACCATCCATGGGCTGCAGCGTGCCCTCAGTGTAGGTACACACATACTGCTCCCCTATGCCTTCCCTGGCAAAACCTGGTCAGCTTCAATGCATCCAACGAGGACAGAAGTCAGTGTGCAGAAGAGAACACCTGGACTCCTGAAGCAAATAGGAAGGCATCTCAGCAGGGAAAGAAGGTGGGGAGCAAGATCCAGGAAAGAAAAAAGACTTGATGACAGCCACAGGCAGGGCTGGCCCCAAAGGAAGAAGGGATTTGGGGAAGTCGAGAGAAGGGCCAGCTGTGAAGTCAGACAGGAAGGTGGACAACAAGCCAGGCTGAAGTACATTCAGAGGGGAGGTTTCATTTTGAAAATCACAAGAAGTGCCTCTCAGGGGATCATTAGTCTCAAACAAGCCTGATTTTTGGATCAATAATGGGGAATCACAAATAGGCAAATTAAGAAAGTGAAAGGTAGTCTAAAAAGAAAACACACACACATGTACACATAAAATGCCAAAATGGCTACCCCTTAAAGATTTCTACAAGGACCGACGGAGTCAATATTTCACACAACATGGCACCCTGTTACATTTCCTCTTCATTTATCTGAATTTCACAGACAGACATAAAAGTCAGGATTTTAAATTGGTGTTTGACTCACGGTTTCAAAACACAATGTTCAGCCTTGACACAGAGCTCATAACAAAAGCGTTTAGCTAGCTGAAACCTGGAACCATAGCAAAATGCAATTTATGTAGGACTCTGACAATGAACTTTAAAAAACAATCAAATTAAAAAATGACCTCCGATTAAGTTATTAAAGCCGTGTGCCTTCTCGAGCTGGCGCTTCGTCTGTGCTGTGAGCCAGTCCTACTCAACATTGCTGTGTTTAGAAGAAGGTTCAGTCTTGGTTTTGAGACAGGTCATCATAGTGAGGTTCAAAATGAAGTTTAAACGCTACGAACTGAATCATTCCCTTAAAAATCAGCCAAGTGAATAGAAACAACAACAACAAAGAATTCTATGGGGGTTTTTTGGGTTTGTTTTGTTTTGGTTTTTGGCTAGGAAATAATTGGCTTCTTGATTTAAAACAAATTTGGCAGCAAAGCCTTCAAACCTTCACTGATGAACCAGACTTCCCGTGATGCTTCACTTGCGGTGGGCACGTGGCCAGCGCTATTTCTACCAAAGGCAAGTCCAATCCCGTCAGATTTGCCTGCTTAATTATCCCTCAGTGGTTCCCTCTGCCTTCAAGATCACAGAACCACACAGAGCTAATGAGGACTGCCTTCGGGGCCTGCCTCTGACCTCGGCCTTTCTGCTTCCCTGCAGGCCACGGAACAGAGTAATAACTGAAGTCAGGGGGCCCTGGGCTTGAATCCCACCCTGCTTTTTATTAGCTTATGGCCTTGGCCAAGTTAATTAACCTGCCTGTGCCTCAGTTTCCTCAAAGTAAAAGGGGGATAATCCTAATACCTACCTCACAGGGTTGGTGTAAGGATTAAACAGGTGGAGTGCGTCGTCATGCCTGGAATACAGCTTTGTATGTAGCAGATGCTGGCATTTGCTATAAAATTGTAATTGTTACATGAGATCTATACCCTGGCTACTCAAGTGTGGTCTGCAGAGCAGTAGCAGCAGTGTCACCTGGGAGCTGGGTAGAACTCAGGGGCTCAGGTCCCGCCCTAGATCTACTCAATCAGAATCTGCATTTTAGCAAGATCCTCAAGAGACTCCAACGCACACTGAAGTTCAAAAAGCACTCTCCCTACTCCAGCCATACCAAAATATGGACAAGGGTCTTGAATTCACCATATTTCTTCATGCCTTCACACCTATGTGCTATGCGCCCTCTGCCTAGAATTCCCTTTACCGGCCTTGCTCACCTAGTGACTAAAAACAAACAAACAAACAAAAACAACTAAACTTATTGCTCTCAAGTTGATTCTGACTCATAGTGACTGCCATGGATTGAACTGTGTCCCCCAGAAATATGTGTCCACTTGGTTAGGCCATGATTCCCAGTATGGTGTGGTTGTCTTCTGCCTGTGGTTAAAGAGATTAGGGCGGGATGTAACACCCTTGCTCAGGTCACATCCCTGATCCAATGTAAATAGAGTTTCCCTGGGGTGTGGCCTGTACCACCTTTTATCTTACAAGAGATCAAAGGGAAGGGAAGCAAGCAGAGAGTTGGGGACCTCATACCACCAAGAAAGCAGTGCCAGGAGCAGAGAATGTCCTTTGGACCTGGGGTTCCTGCAACGAGAAGCCCCTAGTCCAGGGAAAGATTGATGACATGGACCTTCCTCTAGAGGCATCAGAGAAAGAAAGCCTTCCCCTGGGGCTGACACCCTGAATTTGGACTTGTAGTCTACTAGACTGTGAGAGAATAAATTCTCTTTGTTAAAGCCATCCACTTGTGGTATTTCTGTTAAAGCAGCACTAGATAACTAAGACAGTGACCCTATAGGACCGAGTAGAACTGCCCCATAGGGTTTCCAAGGAGCGACAGGTAGACTCGAACTGCTGACCTTTTGGTTAGTAGCCAAACTCTTAACCACTGCACCACTAGGGCTCCACCTAGTGACTAGTAAGTTTTATTTATTCTTTAGACCCGTCTCAAATACTTCCTTCCTCTGAGAGGCGTTCCCTGACCAACTCAGTGTGGAGCAGTACTGAGCCCACTGTCCCCAGTACCTTCCTCTACAGGTACACTGGCCACAATGAACCCCAGAGTTCTGGGCCAGGGAAATCTTCCATAACCATGGCATGCGGCTGGACCATTCATTCAGGTCTGCCAGAGGCTTCCTTTATCCTGCTTTAAGTTCCTAATGGCCTCTTCCATGTGGATTTGAGGCTTGAACAGTTCACAGTCGAGACAGGCCTTTGGGCCCAGGAGCTTCCACAAAGGAGAGGCCCAGAGCTTTCCAGAGTTGTGCCCCAGGCACAGTCGGGTGCTTACTGCTGGTGGCTGGCAGCTGTCAGGGATTAATGCTGACTAACAGTGCGTCTCTCCTCCCAGCTACTTCCTTAGTGCCCATTAGCCCAGCCTAATCTGTGCCTGGAGCCCAAGTTGTCTCAACACATTTCACTTCACACAGTGGAAGGCTGATATCCATCTAGAGTCTGAATAAAAATAAAAAGAACCCAGAAGGAGCGACTCTCTGTGCTCCACCCACAGAAGCTCCCCAACTGCCCCCCACCTCCCCACTCCCCTACACCCCGCACTGAGATCATCGACTACCATCTGCAAAGGGATGCTTCCCAGCCGGCACCAGGCTGATGGCTCAAAGAGCCAGAAGAATAGCCAACAACTCCTGCCCTCGAGGAGGTTACAATCTTGTGGTGGTGATCTTCCCAACTTCCCTCTCGTAAGCAGTCCCTGGGGTACAAAAAGCTGCTAATGACCCATCAGGCTGAATGTCACTACATCTCCATCCCATTCTCCGTGAGCCTTGACAGCAAAAGGACGATGCAGAGCTGAAGCAGAAGCTGCAAGATGCCCAGTTTTCCCGAGTAATATAACCAAGGGGTTTGCACCAGTCTATGAACCCTCAAAAAGGACTGGGGCATCCAGGAATATGGAGGGACTGCTGGAAACTCTGGTCACCAGAAAGTCCCAACTGATCACCAAGCACTTACAAAGCGCCATGAGGGATTAAACCCACACAAGCAAGGGTCCACTTCCAGGTGTTTATTGTAA